GACATAGAAGGACTATTTAGAGTTACCAAACAGCTTAACAGTCATGTTTTTGGTCTCTGGGAGGAAACCAAAGTACCTGGAGAAAACTCACGCATGTATGGAGACACCATGCCCAAAGATGTGTTAATGTCTTAAATTAAGACCGTGAACTGCAGCTCCCATAATGCATGCTGATTATTTTACCCACAAAATGATAATGCGTTTTGTGAAAAGGTCTTATAAAAATAAGAGTTTTCGATGGTTTAGGCCAGAGGAGTCTAACCCATTTTCACAGAGGGCCACATGAGCATCATCATCAAAGGGCCATTTCTAATTTAGCTAACCCAAAACCGTCACATTCCTGAGCACCGCTAACAAACAATAACTGAGCTCTACCTGGCATTTCCTGCATAGCAACAATGTTTTAACGTTCTCTTATAAACACTGAAAAGTACTGCGTGTACGACTGACTGAATGTGAAATAAATAATACAAAAATACTATTAAAAGTAAAAATAAGACTTTTACTCACAAGATAAGTAGCCACCATCTTGAATTCTGAATTTTCCCACTGCAAGGATCGTAAATTTCCGACTTGTAAATGGGAAATTCCCACTTCCAAATACAACTAAGCCACATCAACCACAGCCGATGAAAATGTAGAAAATGAAGGTTTTACTTGGCAAATTTCACCGGCTACTGGTGACTTTTGAACTGCTCCACCTAGTGGTGAGATGGTATAATTTTGCGGGTAATAATCAACATGCATTATGGGAAATGTAGTTTATGGTCAATGCCGGCTTCAAATCGGCTTATTTTAAGATATTAATACATCTTTGACACGTACTGTAATGGGCTCTCATGAATTTTCTTTTTCTTTATTATGGCCCCCGCAATGTCATATTGTTTTTTATTTATTTATTTATTTATTTATTTATTTATTTATTTATTTATTTATTTATTAAAAAAATTCTGTGATTTTTGGTCAAGCGTATCAAGGAAACGATCAACATGAAATTTGTCAGGATTTTAAACTGCTTATAACTCTAAAACTATTCAACATAGGAGCTTCAGATATTTTTGTTGTCTATCTCTGGTAAAGGGGTTTCTGAGTTCTGTGCAGTATCTAGTTTATTTTTATGCATCCACACACTCTGTACCAAAGAAGAAACCACTGCCATCCACAAATGCTACTTTAAAGCTCTATCATGCTAAAAAGAAGCCATACATGAACAGAATTCTGCAAAAAACAAACATCTGCTTAGCTTAAAAATGAGGCAAAGCGTGACTCAAGCGCATGTTTGAACTTACTGCTGATAAAAGACCAAACACTGGTATCAGATTAAAAGACAATGACTACAGTTAGTTGAAAAAACTGGTTCAGGATCTTCAGTGCAAACAAACCTCACATATAAAGACAGTTTCCCAGACGCCCAGCAGAGAAAAGTCTTTGAAGCTGAGTTCATACAAGACACAACCTGAGGAAAACAACACATGTCAAATGGTTTTAGACAAAGAGATTGTCCATAACACACACCCTTAGGAACAGCAGAACATAAAATAATCTTTTGATAGTTTAGATAACGCCTGATGACAATAGATGAAAAACACTCCAAAGAGAAGACACACTCAGGTGTGAAGAGGTTGTTTTGTCTGCCTGTTCTCGGACAAAAGAGCTGTTTTTCTTTCTTCTCCACCTTGTATTGTGGAAAAAAAGGACTCCTTTTGTGTTTGACTTGTCTTGTTTGCTCTGAGCATGAATAACTCCCACTTTTCATCTTATAGTAACTCTGCGAGAAGACCCTCTGCCTGGGAGTCCACATTTGTATACCTGTCAGGACATGGGCCATCTGTGGATCCCCTTACTAAAGAGGCAGAAGATAACTAGTGCTCCAGAGCTCAGGAGAAAAGAGGGCTTTCTTTCTCAGTTTCTCTGAAATGTTTAAAGCAGATGCTATTAGGCCCACAGCTGGCTGGAGGCCTGAAGCCGTTACCCTGCTATCTACAGCCGGCCTTGAAAAGACATCTTTAGGTTGACACGATAAAGGGGGGGAGGACCATTAGAGTGGTGATAAAAAATATTGGATAAATGTCACTTTAAAATGTGGAGGAACTATTTTTAAAATCTAAACATCTAAACTAGATATTTGGTTTAGTTTTGTTAAAATGTAGTATGTAAAATAAAAAAACAAAAACAAAGTGGTGAGAAATGGTTCAAATGTATCAAATTGATTTATCAAAGTGCAAATGATGAGCCATGTTTTATCATCTGCTTCTATTCACAGAGAATCTAGTTTTGCTTAAAATCTTCTAAAGCCTTTATCATAGCTAACAACATGAGTCAAAGTCAAGGCCAGTGGGCCAAATAAGGCCCACCACAGCATATTATGTGGCCTGCATGAGCTTCAAAGATGTATTAATAAGGGTTGCAACAATAACAGTTTAACACAGAGTTTTAGATTCATTACACACTGTGGATCAATACACACTATTTATGGATCAATACACACTATGTATGGATCAATACACACTATGTATGGATCAATACACACTATTTATGGATCAATACACACTATGTATGGATCAATACACACTATGTATGGATCAATACACACTATGTATGGATCAATACATACTATGTATGGATCAATACATACTATGTATGGATCAATACATACTATGTATGGATCAATACACACGATGTATGGATCAATA